TTCGACGAGGTGATGCAGTAGTCACAGTACTTGAGGCGATTCTCATTATTGACGATGCTGACGAAGGGTTCCGAGACGAGGATCAGTTCCCCCTTCTTGACCTTCCTCTTCTTCTGCTCGGGTCGGCGTCTGGATCGGTAAGTCCTGTGTAAGTACTCACGCATCCCGTCCCACTCTGTGTCCGGCTCACGACTGGCACCACGACGTGGCACCCCCAAGATTATGACTGCGGTGCCATTGGGTTGGAAGGGGTGGTTGGGCGGGTGGAAGGGGGTGGTAGGGGGTGTGGTGGCTGTGATGAGTGCCAAACCCTTTTTCTCCTCCTTCTTTCCCCCCCCCTCCTCCTCCCTCCTCCTCCTCTCCTCCTCTCTCCACCCGAGTGCCACCCCACCGCCTTCGCTCACCTGAACACCCTCCCCTTTTCCCTTTTACCTCCCTTTGGCTCTACCTTCCTGCCTCTTGTCCTTCTTACTCCCTTTCTTCCCATTTTCTTGGTCTCCCGAAGGAAATACACAAACGCAAAGAACTGATACAGAGCCGCGAATCCTTCCTTAAAAACAAAACATAAAATCAACATGTATACACACCTGTCAGGTACAAAAAACTGACATCACAACAACATGCCAAAACCATATCATAATTCACAACAGAAGCTCCGTGACATCTCATCTTCGATCTCAAGGTCCCTCATGATATCTCTCACAGATGGTCGCCAGAACAGGTGGTCTAGCGCGGTACAGACAGGTGGCGAGCTACAGAACACGCACGTAACGCATGCTGTGAAGTTGGCTGTATATGTGGATAGGTTTTCTTCTTCTTTTTCTTTTTTTCTTCTTCTGATTCTTAATCGTCTCCCTATATCTTTTCATCTATCTCTTCCTCTAACTCCTCCTCGTCCTCTTATTCTTTTTCCTTCTCCTCGTCCTCTTATTCTTTTTCCTCCTCCTCGTCGTCTTATTCTTTTCCCTCCTCCTCTTCCTCTTCGTAGTTCTTCTCCCCCCCCTCTCCCCTCTTCTCTCCCTCTCCTCCTCTTCCTCTTCGTAGTTCTTCTCCCCCCTCCTCCTCCTCTCCCCCCTCCTCCTCCTCTTCGTTTCTTCTCCCCCTCCCTCTCCTCCCCTCCTCCTCCTTCTCCCCTCCTCTCTCCTCCTCTTTTTTTGGCTGTTGAGACGAGGGGCGCCGGGGCTGTCTCGGAAAACAGGTGTCGGCGATTAGCAAGGTGTAAAGCGGGTCGGAAAGGAATGGGATATTAAGAGTAAGAGAGAGTAACGTCAATTGAAGAATTTACTCTAGAGATCGGAAGTAAGCCACTGAATCGACGCAAAAAAAGAGGAAGAAGAAGAAGAAGGAGGAGGAGGAGGAGGAGAAGAAGAAGAAGAAGAAGAAGAAGAAGAAGAAGAAGAAGAAGAAGAAGAAGAAGAAGAAGAAGAAGAAGAAGAAGAAGAAGAAGAAGAAGAAGAAGAAGAAGAAGAAGAAGAAAAAGAAGAAGAAGAAAAAGAAAAAGAAAAAAGAAAAAGAAAAAAAAAAAAAAGAAAAAGAAAAAGAAAAAGAAAAGAAAAAGAAAAAGAAAAGAAGAAGAAAATAAGCTTGATTATATTTTAGTAGCGGCTTACTACAGGTAAATTACTGTAGGTAAAATATGAAAAGAATAAACATGACGAGGCAAGGCAACGGGAAATAGAAATTAATTAAAGAAAGCTATTTTTGACAGACCAAAAAGACATTGAATTCAATAGCCATTACACTGATATGTTCCATTATAAGAATAAGCTCTATAATGGATAGATAGAAATAGAGTTGCATAAATAGAGATAGATAGATAGATAGATAGAGAGAAAAAGATAGATAGAGAGAGAGAGAGAGAGAAAGATGGGTTTCATATTCATTTCATCACGATCGAGACTAGGCCTAAGTGTGTATAAATATCGACAGACACCAAAGCCAAAAGGTGCGTAAGAAAAAACACATCAGAATTTGAGTAAAAAAAAAAAAAAAAAAAAAAAAAAAAAAAAAAAATAAATAAATAAAAAAGAAAGAAAGAAAGAAAGAAAGAAAGAAAGAAAGAAAGAAAGAAAGAAAGAAAGAAAGAAAGAAAGAAAGAAAGAAAGAAAGAAAAAAAAGGACACGTATCCGATGGTGGTCACTACCCGCTACCGGCTGCCTCCTAAGCCGAGTCACGGATACGGTAAGGGCTGAGTCACTCGTGTCTATTCTGACGCGTTTGTTTACTTTTAATGTGTCACTTAGTTATTTTTGGTGACTCTTAACTTCACTTGTTTATTTGGAATGAATAATGCCAGGTCAGGGTTTTTTTTTTATTTTTTTTTATTTTTTTTTACGCATTGGAGTCACATATTTCAAATAAATGCCTATTTTGACTCATTTGTTTACTTTTAATGTGTCACTTAGTTATTTTTGGTGATTCTTAACTTCACTTGTTTTGAAGGATTAATGTCAGGTCAGTTATTTGAATAAACATTAAAGTCACTTAGTTTAAATAGAT